TGTACCTTACTGAGTTCATGGAGAACTTGTCAAAAAAAAAAAAAACTATACAAGAAAATGTACAGCAAAATGAACAGTTTAAGTAATTTGTCTTTTACAAAAGTGCAACTGAAATAACTCAGCTACAGATAGCACACACAAAACATTGACTTTAAATTAGCAAGATACCAGGTTTAAAATCATAAGAATTTAAGAACCTTGCCTATTTCCTATATTGTAAGATTATTATTCCAGAAAACGCATATGCTTATGCTTTCCAGAAGCCCCAGAATCATCCAGGATATAATATTGCTGTAATCCTGTGACAAAACTGCCCTGAAAATGTAACAGGAATGAGTCAATATGTTTTTAGAGCAGTATCTTCCACAATTCCACAGACTAAGAGAGTATTAATAAATATACATGTTTGTGAATTATCTAGAGAAATGCTACAGCTGTATTAAAAATAACTGTTTTCTGTTATACTGGATGGTTCAAAAAATGCTCCACAAGGTTACAGGACTTGATGCACAGTTCTAGGATAGGTTAATATTGTAGGTCCAATATCCTTTCCTTTACTTCTTATAGCTAAATACAAAATGAGAAAGAAATGGATCACAGCAATAGAGAACAGTCACACTGATACCAGGGAGACACAACAAAACAACTATTCATCTAGTGCATGATGTCTGTATCCTCCACCTACCCCAGTTAATAGATGTAGTGCCTTATTTGTTTAAGACAGAGACTGCAAAAACTCGGATTAAAGCCCCATTTTTAAATGCATCTTGATACTGTGCAGCTCAACTCTATAAACTACGAGACAGCCTAACTCAAGAATCAACAAAGGCAGTAGGGCTCGATGTCCCATGGTTTTCACATGACCACTTGTTTTAAAAATAAAAGCCATCCTCTTACTTTTGCCTTTGACAGGTGAAAATAAGAGAACTTCTTCAAGGCTGCCTAAGAAATTTAGACAGCAAAATTCTGTTTCTCCAGGAAGCAGGAACAGTGCTGTTGTGACTGGTCAGTATCTCACCTTAATGGAGAATGAGGCAGTCTAGAAGAAAGAAAAAGTCTGAAACTTGTGGGAGAGGAAAAGATGCAGGAGTTTTCTACAGCTAAGAGTAGAAAATAGGTCCCTTGTGAAAAGTAAACTCAGGATAACCACCCTAAAGACTTGTGTTTCTACAAGAAACAAAGCCCTTGGGGAAAATCAGTGATGAGCATGTGATAGTCTAGCGAGGGACTTTCAAGGCAGTTTTGAAGAATGGGGGAAGGATGGCACTGAGACAGGGTTCTCAGGTTTATTACACTGAAAAAGAATGAAATTGAAGTACTTAGAAGGGGAAGATAATGCAGTGCTGAGATCAAATATTGTCTGGGACACACTGTTTCATTTAGAAGCTGAAAAGACAATGAAATCCCACAGAACTCATGACAAGGCATGCTCTGGCAAGAAGGCAGAGTTATAGAAAATAGACAAAAAACGTCTGATGCTGCCGTGGTGTGGCTGCCCTACAACCTCGTACACCATATCAGCATTTCTGAGATCTTTGGTAAGGAGTCATAAAGTTCTTGGCAGACACTAGTATCAGTAAGAAATTGATTCAATAACGCTCACCTGCTCCTAACGGGTTTTCAATTGAAAGCTCTCTAACAGGCTTTCAATAATGCTTGCCTGCTCCTCCAATCCATTTCAGTCCTTGCAAGCCACACCACACACAACAGGGCTCCCCCCAGAGTAGTTCAGCCCACCTGCGAAAACTAACTTTAAAAAACATTAGTGTTTTCCAAACTAACTGTCACAAAATGCCCTCAGAAGCTTCTGCTTAAACCACGACACCTTGCTGTCTGCTCTTGCCCAAAGGACCCCATCTGTATGATGGCAGCTCCACCTCTCCACTCCAGCACAGTCCCCAGAGTCCCTGCTCATGGTCTTGCCATTAAAGAGCCCAGCCTTATCTTCAGTGTATTTCTGCTTTGGTGGCATTGCCCCGTCCACAGAGCTAGACCCATCTGAGATAAAGGATTAAGAAACTCACACAGCAAAGGAAGTGAAAGTTGTGATTCAATAGATGATGATTTTTCTTAGGCAAGACTAAAATCAGAGTGTTGCCAAGACATTTATTGACTGATCGTTTAAGGTGCCATTTTTTCAAATGAGACTTGAGAACAGGCAGTAAAAAACATTTGTTTCTTTGCTTTATTTCTCAGAGTCTTGAGAGAAGAAAAAATTGCTCAAGACAGTGGGTTACTTTAGAAATTCACTAACCTGTTGATGAGCATCTCCAGTGTTTCATTTGAGAAACACGTGTATTTCATGGGCAAGCAATGTGTTCCTGACACACATATGGCACGTGGTGACAGTGGTCACCACATAAGGAATTAGTGAGCTAGGATTTTCCACCCTGGTAAAGAGACATCTTCCTGAGTCCTGACGGCATGGATAGGAACAACTCTTCACTGTCTCCTCAGATATTCAAGAACTAGTAGCCATCAATGAAGCTATGAGAAGCTGGTTTCTAGCCAAGCCCTACAGACCACAATGCTACTTGCAAGAGGATTTTCTAAGAGGCAGAAAATTCTCAAGGGAGACTGAATGAGCATTTACAAGAGAGATCTACTGATAGTCACTAACTAGACCACACCAAGTCAGGAAATCCCTAAAATGAAAGCACAATCTGGGAGAGAATCCAGCAGAAGTATCACACCTGTGTCTGCTTTTGGATTTGGCTTACTTTTAGTCAGCCAGCTCTGTTTGCACTTGGTGCAACACTACCAATCTGTTCTTGTGCACGTTACAAGGGTTGAATCCCTCCCCTCAGCACCATTCCTGCCCCGGAAGATGTGGGAAGTCCCACCAACCCACCCCTAACTATGCTTCTTGTGCAGTAGAAGCACTTGTACAAAAAACAGATCCCCTTGCTGAGTTTCTCACCATTCTGCTCTGAGAGGATCTCACACCTGCTCTCTCACCATCTCTTCTTGCAGCTGCACATCTGCAGCTTTTTCTCTTGGCAGCCCCATGACCACTCAGTAAGGTCTATAAGGTAGGCATGGAGAATCACAGGCTGAGGGATTTCTAGACTGCTGAAGAGCCTGGATGAGGCTTGCTTCTCCACACACTGACTAAGCTCCTCAATGGCAGTGGCTCCTTCTCCTGGAAGAGACCCATGGCTAACATTCATCATGGCCTGAGCAGGGGGTAGGCCACAGCCTGAGCAGACCCATCAATGTTAGTCTCCATGAAGCCACTGCAGCCACCCCACTGTCCCCATGGAGCACATTTGCTTCCTTACCTGCTGGCCTGTGAGGAAGGCAGGGCTTTCCTGAGCTTAGACCAGCTGCTTCCAAGAAAGCACCTTTTCAGGTTTCTATGCTGAGGTAACAGACCTCATTCTACCCTACTCTGTTCTGCACTTCATACCCACCCTACAGGAGAAGACTGACTGTATTAGATTTAAACCAATGGAGAAAATAAGGTCTGATAATTAGATCTAGTCATTGAAAAACAGCCATCGCAAAACCTGTAGTTATGACTTCTAAGAACTAACAGCATGAGGAAAGAATACCTCTTGACAATAATTAATGTAATAAGCAGTGCTCATCATTAGTTTTCTGGAGGCAATGCAAGAAAAGCAGTTCATCATCTTGCTTCTCATACAACTCCTGCCTCATATTATCCCTGCGGTACAGCGCAAGGGTAAGAGTGAGATGGTGCATTAAGCCTACAGTTCTGTAGTTATACAAGAGCTTTTTGAGGACTATAAATCTCTGGAACCCTGTAGCACTGCCCAGATAGTAGTTTCAACCACGCTGTATGTCTGTTACTCTGAAATGGCTGCAAACACAAGTCTTTCAAGACTTCTGAGCTAACTCAGCTGGTCCTTTAGCTTCACCATAAACAACATACCGAATATTCCAGAGAGAGAAGGGTGTGTATTTTGGCTTCTGGGTGAACTTTCACAACAGCAAACATTACATTTAGTCTGTATAAACAGCTACAGTGGCTGCAAGAAAAAAAAAAAAAAAATTATGACACTAGGGCAGGGGAGTTGTGTTTCACCTGGACCCTCATACAGTAAAAGAAATAGGGAATGCACTTCAACAGATCACTTCTGCTTGTTCTTTCCTTGGAAGCCTGGGAGAGATGTCATGCTTTGGCTTTTTAGCCTTGATGAAGCAATAGCTATGGTTTGGGGAAAAAAAATGATGTTTTATGAAGATAGTGTTACGTAATAGTAAATCTGAATGCAGAGATGAAGGAAGGGCACAGAGGAAGTGGGAAAACAACAGACAGACCTCTCATCACAGGGAAGATGGTAACATCTGTCCCAGAATACTAGTATATTTCCAGAGGTTGCATGCAGCACATCTTGTGGCCTAATTCTTACTGTGAACCTCTCTAGGGCACTCATTCGCTTTGGGTAATGGTACATTTCACTCTCTTTCTGATTTTATTAACTTTTTAAAGGTCATCAAGCATTAGAGGAAGAAAGGCTTTCCTAAAAGCACCTGAGAAGCTTCTGAGCTCTTTCCAAAGTACAAGTAAAACAAGTTTTCTTCATTGTATGTCACCTTATGTAAAACTGCAGATAAGAGTCCAGTTCTTCAAATCTTCTGGAAATCAGTGTAGTCTTACAACCTTCTCTAGAATCATGTTCATTTTCATCAGTAGAGGTTTTGGCTACACAGCAAATCTAACTGGCTTCACTCACTTGAAAAGAAAACACACCACAAGACCCACTACAAGACCCCCACTACCACAACACATACAGGTATGAAAATGGATGACCCACTAAGTGATATAATAATCAAAGTCATTTCGACATGTAATTTTTCAGTCATACTTTACAAATTGACATGGAGATTTCAACAAAGTCAAGACCTTGCAATTTCACCTAGCCAACTAAAAAGGGTGAGGTACATTTCCTCACGCTCAACTCTTGTTCAAGCAAATGCAAGAACCAATTCCAGGTTTTCCTTTGGCTTTGATCTAAGCTCTGAGTGCCTCTTCTTCCTTTCGTGCTTCCAAAGAAATGGAAGAGCACAGAAATTTAACAGCGCGTGCACAAGCTGAAAGCCCCCACACTCCATACAACACTATGCACTGAAAATGCAGATCAAAATGTAAACTGTCATTTTCTTACCTCTTATCACTGTTGAGTTGCTGAGCATTGCACATCAATATGTGCTCCTATTCTTGGTACTGTAAAGAGAGGTAAACTGAAATAATGTGGTGAAGCACCACATTCAGTTCAAATACTGAAAAGGCCGATTGAGCTACTTGCTGCAGTGCTTTTTTTACCAGCCAACACACTTAGGTTGTACACATCTAAACAGGGCTACAAAAAAATCTCTCCTGTGCAAGGTGTCATTTTTGATGCCCTGCCTGCTAATTGCACCCTCACACTGCTGCAAAGAGAATGTATATGGCATTTGGCTGAAGTTTCAACCTTAAACTGCCGTTAAAGAGGGCGCCCTTGCAAGGAGTTAACATGAGAGGATTCAGCATAGAAACAGTAGGGGTGTTTGACACTCCTCCTCTCCACCAGAAAGTGCAGCCTAGCCACACTTTAGTGTCCAGACGGATAAAGCCTGGTCTGCAAAGTAGTCCTGCTCCTAAGATTCAGCAGCAAGAGCAAGGCACTGACCTGACAACAAGGTTGCAGCAAAATAAATTCTCATGACATACAAGAAAAAAAATCTATACAGTGGGCAGAAGCCCAGGCACAACAGGGGTGGAGGTTTTCCAAACGCAGCTGCACAAGGAAGGCCCTGTGCAAGCTCATCCAGCCTGAGAACAGCAAACCCCTCAGGTTGGACTAGAGACCTCCAGAGGTCCTGTGCAGCTGAACTGCCAGCTGCTAGCAAAGTTTGCACTCAGCCTAATACAGGAAAAATATCATTAAATGCTCATCAGCATGAATTCATTTTACATGCCCTTTGGCCTTTTCAGCATTTATTTTTTTCCATTATAGCAGTGTGTAAGAAACCCACTCAAAGATGACAGCTTTACTACTGGAAGTGCACAATGCACACTGGTTATCATGAAAATGTTTAGGTAAATCCAGTGATGCAACTAAAAAAGAAATTGAGCTACCACAGCCAGGCCTGGATAAAGAACTGTTAAAACAGCTGCTTAGTATAGCCAAATTAAGCAGACTTACCACAGCCTCTAAGATAATAGTGCTCTTCTCCACCAATCACAGATATCTCCTGCAAATAACAACACCCTCCTTCCCTCACTCCTGCATCCAGTGGGTCTGGTCTCCTGTCTCATCATTAATCCTGTCCTCCAGCTGATGGCAGAAGAGAACCCAACCCAGAGGTCTCCTTCCCTCCCTACTTGCAAAAGCTCAGCAGCTGCACAGCATCCTCTGCTGCCAAAAAGCAGAATCACATCAGAAAGGAGGGACTAAGGCTTCAAGTGAACGTTTACACAGTCATCCCTCCCCCCCCCCCCCCATTACCCTACAATAAAGCTCTGATCCATATTAGGGACAAATCTCTTCACCTGCCACAGAGCCACCCTTGAAACTGATGTTCTTTTGGGTAATACAGGTGCAAAACAGTCCCGAAATACCATAAGCTCATTGTTTCCAAGGAACAGTACCGTACCAGAATATAAACCTCATAGGGCTGGGCTTTTGGGGCAGCTGTTATTTTTTTCTCAGCCTAACCATTATATGGGTCTGTGGGTGACAGATAGAAACAGTTAATGAAATGGATCCAGGCATTATTGCCCTGGCCCGGCTTAAGCCTTGGGAATGATAAAGAAAATACCAGGTGCTGTTGCCCTGGATGGGCTCAAGCCTTGGGAATGGTGAAGAAAACACCAGGTGTTAATGCCCTGCTCGGGCCTAAGCCTTGGGAACTGTAAAGAGAACTATGAAGGGTAAAGATCGGTTAGCAAAACAGAGCAGGCGGTCTGCAAGATAAAGCAGGATGTGCATCTCAAAGACAGACCAAACAGTGTGAATATTTGTAACTCTTAGTAGTGTTGCTAAACTGGGACGTAAAAGAGTGGGAGTAAAAGAGTGGAAAGTTACTGCTTAGCACTTAGTAGACTATAAAAGGGATGCGAGGCAACGAATCAAAGAATGCGTGATTGTGTGTAAAGGAAGTAGAATGATACAAATATGCGCTTGTCACACAATAAAGGGTCTTATGCTGGATTCACATGGGATCAGGTATAGTCCATTTCTTCCCTCATGGGTCCTCAATCAATTACAGCTTTAATAACTATCATTACTTATTAGAAAACAATAGTATGCTTATTACAAAAATCCAACAACAAACCAAACAATCAGTAAACCAACTGCGATTTGAAAGAAAACTATGTTCAGCACAGTACTATCATCAATGGCTGCACTGTTACTTACATGTTTGCTTGAGGAGAGTTTCTGTTTTAGTTGCTTGCTAAAGTCTTCTGTTATGGGGCTAGTTGGTCTGCTGTACTGCTCCACTGTTGATACAGCAGATGTTGAAGCACATGAAAAACAGAAAATCATTTTAATGGATCTGGTGCCAACATCAGCACCACACACACACACACACACAAAAAAAAAAAAAAAAGAAAAAAAAAGAAAAAGAACCAAAAATCAACCAACCAAATTCTGGACCGTAAGCTGGTGCTATGCAGTACCTTTCAACATCTGGCTCTACATAACCCTTCTCCTTATTACTTTGAACTCTTATTTTATTAGGAAAGAAAACACGCTTCAACTTCAGAAAGAACAATGGCGGTATAAGCATGTTCCCTCTCAAATGCATGGGAAGTACAACCATTGCATAACCCCATTATGGTAGTCCCATAAACTAATCAGGTTCTAAAAACACGTTACTACAAGTATAAAACCAGTAATGCTATGCACAGGTGATCGATTCCCCAAAAGCATACATCCTTACTCTTGCATGTACGTAGACACATAGAAAACGTGCTTATATACGGCGTGGCACGGCCCGGTACCTCCCCGCTCCGCCCCCCGCTCCACCCGACCCGGCCCCCGCGCCTTTGGTGCTCGTCATGGCGGCAGGCGTGCGGGTGTTCCGCGGGGCCGCTGCGGCTTTCAGCGCCGCGGCACGGCGCCGAGCGCTGGGTTCCCTGTCGCCGGGGGCGGCGGCAGGCCGAGGGGGTCGGGAGAGCCGGCGAGCCGCGCTGGTGGCGGCGGGGGCGCTGGGAGGGGTGGGGCTGTGGTTATGGCGGCGTCAGGCCGTGATGGCGGCATCAGAGGAGGACGAGGAGGAGAAGGTGTTGCGGCAGCGCTTTATGGCGCCGCCGGTGAGCGGGCTGCGGGAGCTGCGACGGCGGCGGAGGGAGCTGCGGAGCCGAATGGAGCTGCTCATCATGGAGACGCAAGCGGAGGTGTGTCGAGCTCTGGCCGCGCTGGACCCCGGCGCCGCCTTCGCCGTCGACACCTGGGAGAGGAAGGAAGGTAAGAAGGAACTGCAGGGCGTCAGCCCGGGAGCTGGCAACCCGGAGGGCGGCGGCCCCGGCGCAGCCTGACGTCGGTGTTGGCAGGCGGCGGCGGCATAAGCTGCGTGCTGCAGGACGGCGAGGTCTTCGAGAAGGCCGGTGTGAACGTGTCTGTCGTGTTCGGGCACCTGTCGGAGGACGCAGCGCGGCAGATGCGGAGCAGGGGGAAGTCTCTGAAGGCCAAAGACGGTAAAGTGACTGGCGGGAAGGTGGGGTAAGGGACCGTGGCGCATTCACCCTGGTATTCCCGTGCAGCTACTCTCAATGGAGTCGGACCTTTGAGCAGAAATGAGGAAGGCTATTCAGGACTCAGTGGTTTCAGTTGCATCATGGTGTTGCCTAACCAGTGAGCCTGAGCTCACTTTCACAGCCTTAAAAAGCCAGGTGTTGGGGTGCTTCTCCCTCCATCTCACTGCTTTAAACAATGTACTGTAGGCTTAGGTTGCTTCTCAACAATGATGCTGTAGCTTAACAGTGAAACTGCACAGGAGGCATGAACCGAAGAGGTGGAGGGGGATTACCACAAAACCTGAAGGCTAAAGTGGGTCCACAAAGACCTAAAGGCTAAAGAGGATTCAACCCATGTTTGCGTAGCAGAGGGCAATCGTGAGGACTGGGGGTGGTGGAAACCCTTAACAGTGCCTTACATTTCAAGTGTTCTTCATCTCATGGGTGCTCTACCATACTGTTGCATTTTAGGATAAGTAAAAGGAATAAATTTAGTTAAGCACACAGAGATGTGTGGATGAGAAGTAAATTGCACATTAATAATTATGGTGATCCAACGTAAGAAATTTTCTTATAGTGGAGCAATATCTTGGAACCTAAGGAAAAAGAGCAATGTTCCTTAAATGATAATAAATGAAGTTATTTGAGAAAACAGAAGGATTTTTTCTATGGGTCTTTTTTATTATCTAGGGAAACTGCCTTTCTGCGCCATGGGTGTGAGCTCTGTTATCCATCCTAAGAACCCTCATGTTCCAACCATGCACTTCAACTACAGATACTTTGAAATTGAAGAAGCAGATGGTAAGAATTGTAATCCGATGAAGTGCTATGAAATGTATGACTCCACACGAAGGAAGCGAGACTGCATGGCTCAGCTAAAAGGTTAAGAACGAGCCCAGGTTTGTTCCCAGCTCTGCAAGAATCTGTTGTGTATCACTGGATCTCTTAATCTCTGGGCCTTTGTGAATTTGTAAGGTCAGTGTGAAGTGTGCTTCTGGTAAAGGGGTTTGGAGTTCATTTTTTGCAGAGTACACCAGGGGTTTCACACTTAAGATAAAATGTAGGAGGTTATATGTAAAACATATTCAAAGATGCAATTCTAGAATTTAGTAGCATAAGGGCTGTAAAGAACTGGTAAGCATACTGTTCAGGATGCATCTCTGTCTCTGAAGCTGGGTGGACATACTGTCAGAATCCGCACTGTGACTTTTTCCCCTGAGTTTCTGTAACTTTCCACTGTCAGAAGTGGGACTCCAGGTTAGTATCACAGAATATCTCAAGTTGGAAGGGATACATAAGGATCACAAAGTCCAGCTCCCTACTCCTCGCAGAACTACCTAAAACTAAACCTTATGCTAGGTGGTCAGACGCTGAAATGCCATCTGTACCTTGTGAACATAATGTACTGTCAGAAGCTCAAAGAGAGTTTTTTTCCAATTATTTTGTCAGAGCATTATGGATCATTTCTAGTCAGTGACTTCCCTGGATTTAATAGCAATGTTGCCTTTCTTTAGCATGCAGCAAAATGTTTCTGGATTCTCAAATAGGAGTTGTCTGCCCTTCTTGTGAAATTGATAGCCTGTTGTCAGGGTCAGTGGTCCAAAATACCAAATAAATATGTTCTGCTGCTTTGAAATTTGTTTTCTGTTTTCCTGAAAGCACTGGTCATCACCTGACCTCAAACTCCAGTGTTTCATGACTGAGGATAAGAGACACTACTGAATAATGATTTTTGGTTTTTTTTAATTGTAAAAGTGGGTGTTAGTTCTTGGTGAACCACTAGCAGCATACTGCTGTTCAGAACTTTAAAAGAAAAATGTTGCTGCTTGCCTTTCTCCTATAGGAACTAAACAGTGGTGGTTTGGTGGTGGGACTGATCTCACTCCAACTTACTTGAATGAAGAGGATGCTGTTCATTTTCACAAGACACTGAAAGAAGCCTGTGACAAGCATGATATGAAGCTGTATCCCAAGTACAAGAAATGGTATGTGGGGAGAGATGTGCTTGGGTTTCCTTTGTGGGAACAGAAGGTGGCCCTGGATATTGGCAGTTAAGGGTAGTCTTTGGAATAGTAGGTTCTGCTGCCTTTTGAAAAGTATCAGCAAACCCTAATGAAAACCAGCAGATGTTATCCAGGACAAAGTGTACTCTGAAACAATCTCACACTTAGAGAGGCCAGACTTGTTCGGATCAGAGGGCTGACAGCTAGGATTATAAGTCTACAGCCTGCAAAAGAACTAAACTGACTCTGCAAGACTTTGTAAGCCAGTCTTCCCTAGGCAACTTACAAATTCCTTTTAGCCTCTGGTGTTGAACTAGGACAAGACTTTTGTCCTATGGACTTGGGCAAACTCTGCTTACAGTGAACTCATGGAAAGTGTGCATGACTTCAATGTGAGCTCTTGGCCCAGCACTGCAGTTCTGAAAGTCACCCCACTCCAGTTTTACTGCCTTCAGTCTGACTTCCATGGCCTTTTATTTTTTGCCAGGTAGGTAAAGGAGCCTGTCCTTTATGTAGAAGCTTCATCATTTTGATGGAGCTGTACTTTTTTTTTCCAGTGACGTATTCACTGAGAGTTCAACAGAATGTTCTCTAAAGATGCAAATACTGAAAGTTCTTCTTGAGAGATACAAATGATAGGATCCTTCACTGTTCACTGGGAGCTTGCTGCTCTGTGTCTGATAATCCTATCTATTACAAGTTGTGGTATCCAAGAAGGAGGGGTTACCCTTCTGTGTGCTACCAGGTCCTGTCTGAGGACAGGAGATAAAGTGGGTGTTGTAGCTCAAATGGCAGCCACTTAGTAGAGAAGCATCTCTTACAACTTTAAGACCGCAGTCTTGTTCTCTGAGGAATTTTTGCATGGTAGTTCAGAGTGGTCAGGTTGTTTGCAGTGTAAGCAGGCTATCGATGCCAGCTGCAAGGTGTCGGAGAGAAGGATGCCAATTCTTAATCTGGGGGCAGCTCAGGAAAGGACTAGTTGTGTTCCATGGAAAAAGGCAGTTTTCTCAATCCCAGCATGAGTGTTTCCCGCAAGCAGCAGCTACGTACAGGTATACAGTTATCACTGCTGGAGCAGTGTGGATCTTCTCTGAGCTTCTACTAATTAGCTCCTTTTCCTACCTTTCTAAGAAATAAACTCTTGCTATGTTTACCACGCTGCCTCCTATTCTAGCCTTAAGACTTTTGTCAGCCGCCTTCTCTTTTGTGTTTCTGACTCGGCCTTTTTCCCTCATTTTTCCACTGCCATAAAATAAAAATGCTGATCAGCCAGTGAATAAAAAAATAGTTTAGGTTATCTAGCTTAGGTTATCTGTTGCATCTCTAAGTCTCTCCTGCTATGACTGTGCCATTTATATCACTTGAGAACAGAAACTGTGGATGGATACACTTACGGAAAACTAAAAGGAAGGCAAGATTTCCTTGCTGTTGATGGTTTCTCCTTTCTGCCTCCTTTCCATTTCTCCCCTGTGTGAATGCTCGGGGGCATGGCTGCCCGAACAAGCAACTGTAAGCAAGACAGGGTGTGGATACCAATGAATCAGCTAATTTATAGTAATTGCACACCTACATACTCCTAGTAAATACAAAGGAGATTAATTATCTGCTTGTTGTAGGATAAGCTGCGCACAAACATAAACCAATAAACTTGAACATAGGCCGTGAAAAGCCACTGCTAGAATGACCCCATCTTCCAAGTTTAACTGCTAAAAAGCCTTTTTCCAGGGAAGGCTGCCTCACTTTTGATTATTTTCCTTATGTGACAGTGACTTTCTTATCTGCCCTTAGGTCTCTACATTCTTTTAGTTTTGATACAGAAAAACAATTATTTTACTAGGATAGCAAAAAGAAGAAAGAAATTTTCTTCCAAGTTTAAGCTAATCTGAAAGCTATAGAAATAATTCAGGATTACATATAGTTCTGGGAATGAAATCTAAGAAGAGCTCTTCGTGTGAAATTCCGAAATCAGGTGTCCGTCCTTTGTGACGGTAGAGGATACGGATTGGATCAGTCCACAAGGAAGCATCTGCTGTAGTGTTTGATTGTTACGTGTTTAGAGACTCTGTGGTGATACGAAGCTTTACAG